CAATTAGGATTCAAAAACACTACAGAGGTTTTCGGGCCAGACGAATCCTAGCAGTCAGTAAAGTTGCCGCAGTTAGGATTCAAAAACTCTACAGAGGTTTTCGGACCAGACGAAACCTAGCAGATAGTATAATTGCGGCTGAGTTACTATGGTTTGTCTTGTATATATGATCCATGTTTTCATGTGACTATTATGTGAGATGTGAGTTCTTTTATTCGCTTTAAGCGTAAACTTTTGCAGGCAAACGACCCTGTCTCATACCCAGAAAAGGGGTAAAGTTGAAAACATAAACATCGAGAGTGAAAAACATATCGAGTCACTCTTGAAATGGGCAGCAACAAGAGTTGAGAAGGTACTTGATTTGCTTTTTCCACTGTGTAAAAATGGAGTCTGTTTGTACTTACAAAATACTTTTCTTGAGCTTCGAAAAGGGGTAAAGTTGAAAACATAAACATCGAGAGTGAAAAACATATCGAGTCACTCTTGAAATGGGCAGCAACAAGAGTTGAGAAGGTACTTGATTTGCTCAGCGCTGTACGTGTTATTCTCAATTCGTCAATTTAATCCTTGTGTTAATTAAACCTCGTATTAAATTCTTTTTCCACTGTGTAAAAATGGAGTCTGGCTGTACTTACAAAATACTTTTCTTGAGCTTCCAGTTGAGTAACTCTATTTTTTTAATTTTTTTTTACAGATGGATCCACTACTTCGTTATTCTCAGAATTCACTTTTTTTTTTTTCTCAATTCGTCAATTTAATCCTTGTGTTAATTAAACCTCGTATTAAATTATTGGATCAAATAAGATTAACCGATCCACTACTTCACAGATTAACTCTATTTTTTATTATTTGTTTTTGTACAGATTGATCCACGACTTCGTTATTCTCAGAATAAACATTTTTTTTATCTGATCTGGGGCGATCGATGTTTCTTGGGGAGGTAACATGCATAAAAAAAACCAGAAATATATTTATGCATTAAAATTAAGTGATATAAATAAATTAATTTACCCTCTTTCAATACTATAATCTCAAGCTTGAATTTTTATCTGGAAGTTCCATTCATTTGAGATTTTTGTTCTTGCAGTTGGAAGTTTGACTCATATACGACATCCTCAACTCAGGTTTTTTTTTTTCTCCTCTCTTTTTTGGATAAGTTATGTATATTTAAAAAATGAATGAGAAGACCCGTTATGAGCCTATAATTGTAATTAAATAGCAACGAGAAAAAAAGAGAGGTAGAATTTGAAAGATTAAAAAATTAAAATATACAATATTTGTAATTTAATATATTCTTTATAAATTAAAAAAATTCATAGAGGGTGAAATAAAAAAAATCTCATAGGAGACAAACCCAAAAAATAAAAAGAAAAACGATAAAAATAGAAAAACATTTAAGAAGAGATATCAGGTAAACTCAAATAAACCTTCTAAACTTGATTTAATTTTTAAGACCAGTCACTTAAGAAATCTTAAATTTGGGTTCAATCAAGAAACTTAACTCTCAACAAGTTCAATTTTAAAGGGTAAAATAAAAAAATATTAATAAAAAATAGCAACTAAAAAAAATGAGGATAAAAATAGACATGAAAAAAACAAGAAGATGAAACTTGAGAAAAAAATGATCCCAAACAAAATAAATTGTAATTAAAAGAATTAAGACCAAACTTTAAAGATTAAGAAATTATAAGGGATGAAATTAAAAATTATTTAAAATATAATAAATTATTTATATATTAAAAATTGGTAGTAGGTGGAAAAAAAATATAGAGAGCTAACCTAATAGAATCAAATTAAAAAAAATAACATAACAAAATTTTTTTTATAAAAAAATATAAAAAGTAAGAAAACATCAATTTATAAAAAGAAAAAAAAAAAAGCAAACCTAACAAATAGCTTAAACCTGATCTAATTTTTAAAAGTCACATCCTGAAATTTTTTATCCAAATTCAAACAAAAAGTACTCAATTCTCAACTAATTTAATTTTGAAGAATGATATGAATAAAAAAAATAATAAAAAAAATGAAGATAAAATTTGATAGAAAAATACTTAAGAAGAATATAATTTAATGAAAAAATTCAAAACAAATCCCAAATAAAATAAATAGCTATTAAAGTAACAAGAACTAGATTTTAAAGACTAAAAAAATCATTGAAGTTGAAAATGAAAAACACACATGTAAAAATCAAGGAACCCAAGCAAATATTCTAAACCTGGTCAAATTTTAAAAAATCACAATCCATGAAATTTTAGATCCAGATCTATTCAAGAAATTTATTGAGAGCCAATTTAAAAATGAAAATTTTAAAAACTTGTCAAAACAAAAAAATCAACAATCAAAAGAATATGAATTAATTTTTTTTTAAAAAAGGGTGAAATCATAAACCAAAATAAATTTAAAAAATGATTCCATATAAAAACTTTTCAATGTAGAAAAATTAGCAATAAAAAAAACATAGATTAAATTTGATAAGAGAAAAAAAATAAAGGAGGATAAAATTGCAAAACAAAGTCAGTTTAAAAAATAACTCAAAACAAAAAAAAATAACAATTGAAAAGAATAATAACTAAATTTAAAAAATAAAACAAATTAAGAGGTGAAATTGAAAAAGCTCATCAATTTTATAGACCATTCAAGATTAAGAATAATAATAAAAAAAAATTAATTATGAAAAACCAACAAATTAAATAATTATTTTTAAATTTTTAAATGGATCAACATGAAAATTTAGATAAGAAAAAAAAATAGTTGTTAACATCAAATCAATGTAAATAGTGTGACATAAGCTACCTCACTATGTTGGGGACACTGAAACATTTCAAATGTCATCTTAGAATGTGACGTTCGTGGCAATATAGTCCTTTACATGTCATGGGAATTGCGTGACAGTGCTAAGGTTTTTTTAAAAAAATTATATTTAATAAATATAATTTACAATAATGTTTTTTAGCATTTTAAAATTTATAATAAAAACAAAATAAAATGAAATAAAAAATATTAGGGTAGAGTTTAATTGGTTTTGTCTTTTAAAGATATTATAGTAATTATATTATTTTTATAAAAAATAAAAATGCAAAAATGTTCTTGAGTAGGAGACATTTAATTATTTTATTTAAGGGTTAAATACGTATTTTTCTCATGTATTAAAAAACATAACTATCAATATGACCTTATATAATTTTAAAAAAATATTTATATCATAATAAAAAAATTATATTACCCCATGAACCAAGTTAAAAGATTAAATGATGGAGGGGGAATATAATAATTGTAGTAAAATATATATTGGTTGTTCAAAAGAGTATTGTCTTTGCACCTGATTATTCTTGTTATTTATAGATTTTTAAGAATTCTAAAGAAAATAGGGTAGCTTGTTGTTGCAAGGAAGTAAATTGTCTTTAATGATTATATTTTAAAATATGTTTTATTTAGAAATATATTTTAAATTTTTTAAAATTTATTTTTGATATTGATATATTAAGTTAATGTAAAAACAAAAAAAAAATATATTTTTTAAAATACAAAAACAAAAATAAATCATAGTTAGACCGGACCGTGATGTTAAAGATAAGTGATGACAAGCGATGATATAGTGGTCACGTCGGCTTGCACCGGAGATTAGAATGATAAGGCTAGGAAATTTGGCTGGATGGCAGCCCAACCGAGGCTGCCCCTGGAGGCTGCACATGACAGCCTCTGCTGCGCGCGAGCATATATACATATAATTTATGAATAAATTCCGGCACCATCACCCTCCTTGTCGCACCACGCTTTACTCTAGCATTGTGTAAAGGTGCTTTTGCTAGGATATTTTTGTGTAAAGGTGCTTTTGCTAGGATATTTTTGTGTAAAGGTGCTTTTGCTAGGATATTTTTGTGTAAAGGTGCTTTTGCTAGGATATTTTTGTGTAAAGGTGCTTTTGCTAGGATATTTTTATTTACTTTCATTTATTGTTCTTGTGTTGGCTTTGCAGCATTGGATATCTGAGCTTACGAAGGCTTGGAAGACCTGGAAAGGAGCCTTGCAACGTTGGCTGGAAGTTGTGAGTTCATACATTCTTGTTGAAAACCTTGATTATTCTACTAAAGTTAACTGTTTTAATTCAGTGGCACGTACCCTTTCTTTCCTTGTGTTTTCGCGAGTAAATTAAATTGATCTGGCTAAATCCACATGCTTCATCCCCTTGCCTGCAAAAACCTGTTCTCATGCCGATCCAATTCGTATTGATATGCTTGTTAGGCTTACATAGTTGTTATTTTCAGCATGTAGCGTTCCTATATGTTTGCATGAAAACAGCATACTGGGATGAAATGGACGAAGGCACGTCAGATCTTAGGTTTGATTTTTTTTTTTTCCTTACAACTAGGAGGTGCCAGTGGGGGCCTGTCAAATCTCGGAATGATCCCTCGGATTTAGTGATTTTTTCATATAAGTCTTAACGTTCTATATATAACGTCCATTTTGAATAGATACAAAGGCTATCTTGTAGTCCATATTCTATGCCTTATGTGTATATTTTTTTGAATGTGTAAACAATTTTGGCATTTCAATATATTCTTCCATTAGAGAGATCTTAGCACAAACCTGAAAAGAAGAACAAAAACCTTTGTTTTTGTCCAAATTAGCTTCCCTGAAAGGATTCAAAGCCTTTTTTAGCATACAAAACTCTAATGAATAAGAGCTCGAAACAACAACCCTAGTCTAGATAATCGAAACCTAAAACTAGGTTTCTCAAAGATGTCAAGTGCACATGAATTTGTGATTTAGTTTCGAGATTTAGCAGACCTTGATAACGATTCCATTTGTGCTGGATCTCTATACCGTTGTTGGGGGCCTTTTCTTCTAACATTAAAGTTAACATGCTCAATCAATGTGTTGGTGCATTCACCAGGTAAGCAAATCGGAGGCAGTTGAATCCCTTATGTCCCTTGTGCTCAGGAGTGAGAGCAACACCGAGAAAGATATAAATAGCAATCAACGAGAACATGACCGGGCAGATGGATTCAATCAACAGGTTAAAACTACCATCTCGAAATTGTTTTTTAACATTAAATTTGGCATACCCAATCAATGTGTTGGTGCATTCACCAGGCAAGCAATTCGGAGGCAGTTGAGTCCCCTGTGTCCTTAATGCCCAGGAGTGAGAGCGACACCGAGGACGATATAAATAACAATCAACGAGAACATGACCAGGCAGATGGATTCGATCAACAGGTTAAAACTATCATCTCGAAATTGTTTTTTAACATTAACGTTGGCATTCCCAATCAACGTGTTGGTGCATTGACCAGGCAAGCAATTCGAAGGCAGTTGAATCCCCTGCGTCCTTGATACACAGGAGATCCTACTTAGCACTATTAGTTGAAGAGGATTTAAATAACAATCAACGAACACACAACGGGCCGGCAGATGGATTCAATCTAAAGGTCAAAATCTTCCATCTCAATATTGCCTCATATAGCTATGTATATTAAAATTAAAGCAAATACAAATCTTGATTTTTAGTAATTAAATAATACCCTCCCGGAGCAGGATCTATTGAGAATAATCTTCTATGCTATGAACCTTCTGTTTGAGATTGCAACTGCGGTTCTTGATTACTTGTCTTCTCAGCAGCGTCAACCCCGGTATGCGCTATGGGGTATGATACTGTCAATCACTGTCATGGCCATCTCCTTGATTCAGCTTGCTTACACCGGTGGAAAGGAAGGAGTTAGTTGGAAGGGCTGGATGCCTTGGTTATGTCATCAAGCTCCATCTAACAAGCTTTTTGGAAATCCTGTTCACATTGTTGAATTGCTTTTCTCCGTCTCTCAATGTGTTTCTGCAATAATTGCCTACCATTATTTGTCTCGAGACCAAAACAATCCTACCCAATTATCTGTTTATCCTATAGGCTTTGCTTTTTTTTTTGTTGTGTGTCAGTTTTAGACGACGCGAGCCATGAGTTTCATCCTAGTTAAGGTTTCGGAGAAAAACTAATAATGTGGACATTTGTATGCGCTGTGATTTTTCTTTCTATTTCGGTCTAAGGTTTCTGCTTGGTGGTTCGTCCTAGAGTGTAAGAGAGAAGTTTATGTACAATGACACTTTCGACTTCCCCTTCATGACCTGGAGGCAGAAGAAGGCCCGTGTAATTACTAATGAGCATTCCTGATTTACGTGATGTCTTTCTTCTCTGCATTTCCCCAATTCCATTTTCCAACGTCAAATCTTTTAATAAAATAGAACCTAATTTTTAATTCATTTATTTTTTTAAAAATATTTTTGATATCAACATTTAAAAATATATATATGAAATGGAATGAAATTGATAAAAGTACAATTGTGGGTGACAATTAGCTAACACACCTTTATCCGTAGCAGTTTCTTGACGACTCAAGTGTTCAAAAACACCTTCAAAATGGGAAACCAAAACATTAGGCAGAAAATACATTAAAATCATCCAAAGTAAACACTAAATTATAGCGTTAGGTACTTGAAAGAATGTGTTTAAGAGATTTGAAATTTAAAGATCAAGAAGTCAAGTTTTATCATCCTCATTTTATATCTGGGAGACAGAAGACATTTAAATCTCTTACACCTTAGGATGAATCACCAAGATATCTAGAGAACAAGTGTTCCAACAAACCCTTTTAATCTAACAATGACAGACTGGGGGGGAGAACTATGAGAAGAAGACTTTCTGAATCATGAATTTGATCGGCCAGGTTAGGAAAAGGAACGATTTTGCACGAGTTTGTGAAGCACAAGCTAGAAAAGGGAGTTCAAAGATGTTGTAGAGAAATAGAGATAGCGGGAAACATAGAAGCCAAAGAGGCAAACGCAATAGAATTAGCATCCCTGTTTATGTTTCCTTCACATGCTAGAAAAAAAGTAACATGCATATTTTCCTACTGTCCACAAGAAGGGATTTGACTCCCCAAGAAGTAGGTGACGTGACATGCAAAGAAAATAACAAAATCATTTACTAGGCATAAAAACAAAAGAGAGTACAAGGGATGATCAGATTTTGATAATCCAAACCCAAAGAGGCATATTGAACAGACAAGTGCTCAAGAATTAGCAGACCTGTGTCTAGCCTCCCAAAAACCACACAGTAGTAAAAATCACCACCCTTTGATGATCAACTAGACAGTCTTAGAACACACATTTTCCATCCACTAAATTAGTAAAAAAAAAGATGAAAACTAGGATGGAACTCGAAGGAATGACTTGTCCTACTAAATTGATGTTTCTTTGAGATGCTAAGCTCAATCGTGAAAGGAAAACCAACATGTCACTGAGAAACATGCATGAATTCAAAACAAAGGATATCAGAACGTGACGTTCCCCAAAGAGAGAGCACTATATTAATTCAGGTATATTAAATCAACTATTCATAAGGCCACATAAGACCGAAGATGCATGTTAGCATGTACCTTCAATACACAAGAGGACAGAAGCAAGCTTATATATCTTGGCTCGCTAGAGAAAACATTTAAAAGACTCCAATTCCAAAGACTAAACGTTTATCTAACAGTCATCAATCAGCTTTCAAGCCACAAAACTATTGAAGCAATCGAAGTTTAATTCTGTCCCTATAGCCATAACCCATACTACTGATATCTACAAACAATGAAAATGAGCATGACAAAATATTTGCAAAGTCTTTCAACTTCGTCGTGTCCAAGAATATAAAATTATCATTAATCATCAACAAGCCAATCACGAGAGTGTCAACAAGTCGAGCAAGTGTAAAACTTCTTATTGAAGAAATCCAAAAGATGGAAATTTCAACATGAAAAGAGACAAGCATAACCTGTTTCTTATTAAGACCATAAACTGAACACAAATGATTAACCCCAAACACTGAACTATAAGCCACAAAGTATCAACTAAAGCAATGTCAACCATTAAATATAATTCAAGAGGAACTATGTTAAGCAATGACAATCAGTAGATTTAACAACATAGAATCATTGTTAAATTGACAGTTTAATTACAAACAACTAGAAAAAAAAAAGTACTTCTCCAGTTTTATTACAAGAGAAGAAGACAAATTTAAAAAAGTTGATTACAAACATAACTTACACATGATGCCAACTCTCTCCATACATAACAACTTACTCATGATACCAATTCTCTCTCTCTGTCTGTTTCCACCACCTCAAGCATCCAAATTCTCCATCTGAATGCTGGATTTCAAAGGCACATACTCTCCAAGATACCCACCAAGATGCTCATGTAAGGTAGTCTTATCAATCCCTTGATGATGATAGCTCTTGCAAACGTAATAAAACACACTTTGCACCAGCAATCCCACCAAATTCACAATCACCAAAACCCCAACTAAAAACCCACCAACAATAATCCTTGTAAACACTCCATGATTATCTCCACCATGAACCACAACAGTCGAAAAAATCACAGAAACCAATCCACAAATAGTCAAGTACCCGAAAACAAGAACACCAGCCACACGAATCTTCCCTTTCAACAACTCGTAACTCTTTTTCATAGCAGCAAATCCATAAATTGGCTCTAAAACAGAAACCACACTAGCCAAATGCCAAAGTCCAGTAATATAAACATGAACAACCAAGAAAAGCACACCAATCACCACCAAAGAGAACAAAACCAAAATAGCATTCTGAATATCAATACCGATAATCAAAATCACCAAGAACAGAAAGAAAACAGAATAATAAACCAACATTAACAGAGAAACCCACAAGAAAGTCATAAACAAACGCTTAAAAACCCGAGGGATGGCAGACATTGTAGAGGAAAAAGAAACAGGCTTTGAAGTGTAAAGAGAAGCAACAGTGAAAACAACAGCAGCCGTTGATAAAAGAGAGAAGGCAAATAAAAAGATTAGATAAAAGAATTGAAAAACTAAAAGAAGGGTCCATTGATGAGTGTGTTGCCTTGATGGGTGATCTTGAATTTGCGATAAAAGAGGATGAGTAAAAAGAGAGTGAGCCAAGATTGCAAAGGACAAAGGGAAGATTAAAGCAAGGGTGATTAGTTTAAAAGTTTTTGGTGATTGTTTTAGGATTGAAATGGATTCTCTCAAGATTTCTGGTATGGTAAAGAATTGTAGCTCTTCTGTTTCAAGATCCATGGTGGGTTCCTGCTGTGTGTTCTTGAAAATGAAAAATCAAAGCTTCTTAGAGAGGAACAGAGGAGCTTGGAGAGAGGTATGGGTGGATTCTGGAAATTTTAAGGAAGACAGGAGGCAGCTGGATATTTATTGATTTATTGGATTTGATGAGTTTGGGTTTTTTGTTTTTTATTCTCCTGATTATTTGGTATAAAAGATGTGGTTTTTGTTGCATTATTTGTATTTGATGTATCAAATACTTCCCATAATATATTCAGTGTACTTTCCTTTTTAACTAACATAACAATATTTTTTTTTTTAAATAATTAATTCAACTCATGGTTTAACCTAATAATTTAAATTTTTTTTAGGATTAATCTCCCAACAGGTTTGATAATTATAGCATACTTTCATTTTACATTTTACTGTATATTGAATATTGAATAAGTATGAATAAATGACTCCTGTTGAGATTTAAAAATAGTTGCTTGAGCTTGTATTGTACTTCCTCCTTAACTATATAATCGATGCCAAGATTTATTTCTATTTTTCCATGATTAGTTTTCAGATCTGAATATGTTAAGAATGAATTTTATTAAGTTTCTAGTTTGAGGTCGTGTATATTTCCTACAAAATTAGAAGCAGTAATGCAATAAATTTATCCAAATAATATAAAGTTTGAGGTTGTGTTGTATTCTTTTGTTTTCATGATTGTACTGTGTTTTTGTAATTTTATATTATTTTTTATCATTATAATATGATGATATCAAAAATTAATTTTAAAAAATAAATTAATAAATTTTTAAATAAAAAATATTTTGAAAAACAACCTTCACTACAATCTTAAATATTTTAATGTAATAAGTGTTTGGTGTTAGCTAATCGTCCAACTCAAACTCATGAGTGATCTAAGCATAATTTATGAAGATATAAATGAGGAAGAGGATAAAATTGGAAAGGAAATGAAATTGAAGGGCAGATCGTGAGTGTGTGTGGAGTGTTAAAACAAAGAAAGAATTAATAATTGGATATATGTATAAAATAATTGAATTCTCATGCATAGAGAAGCTTCCATGGAGAGCTCCAAGGGTAACATATTTATATATATATTATCATTAAATACAGAGGTAGCTTCAGTCTGCCCTGTACGAAACAGATTTAGCCCAATTTACTCTTCAATTCGGGCCTCGCCGAGTACACTACTACGAACAAATTTAAAAGTGAAAATTTTGAATGATGATTCGACAGGGGCCGCGACTCGCGCAGCCCCCTCTACCACAAATTTTGACGTAGGCTCTCCCTCTTGGGGAGACCTTAAGCCAGCACCCCTCCTGCGTGCAATGGAGGTCACAGACCTAGACCATGGGCCTTCAGGATCACCCATTGATCCCGTCCAGGTAAGTATGTTCCATGCTGCTGAGGCCTTCCATTTTATACCCGCCTGCCTTATGTCCCTTCTTGTCTTGCCTCGATGTGGGATTCCAGACTACCTCGCGACTTTCTTGTATAGATACTACGTTTATTTATATCGTATTATACAAAATTCTCGTTATTTACCAAATGCTTAAATATGTTTTTGATAAAATTGATAAACAGGTAATTGATACTATAATCTAAGAAATAAAGCTTAAAAACTAACTGAATCAGCATTGATAAAACGATATGGATAATATATTAGCTTTAATTCTATTTATTTTTGTATTTTAAAAGTATTTTAAAAAATAATTTTATCCTTTTATTTTAAATTAATTTTTTAAATTATTTTGATGTGTTAATATCAAAAATAATTTTTTTTTTTAAATAAAAAATATTATTTCAATATATTTTCAAATAAAAATCACTATAAAAGCAATCACAATTACATTTTCAAACACCTTTAATACTGGATCTAACTCCTAACTTGATTTAAGGTTATAGTTATGAGTTGACCGGATGAATCTAAAATGATATTATTTAAAAAAAATAAAAATAAAATTTTATTATTTTAAAAAAAAATTAAATCAAAACTCACTTAAATTTTAACCATGTCAAGAACTAACCCACTAGATATATTAGGTTTTATCATGCTAGATCCTCCCTAG